AATAAATAAATAAATAAATAAATAAACTAATGCATTAAAATTAAATAAACAACAATAAAACTATATCCTAACGGCTAATAACAACAACAATAATAATAATGAACAAGACAAATATTCAATTTATAATCCTTCTGGGTGAAGGAGTAACTTATTTAACCATTTTGAAATGTCTATGCACCCTCCACTTCTTAATAATCTAATTTATTGTATTTTTTGTACTTTCTTGTGTAGTTGCTATCATATCACTCAACCAGAACTTTCATCACACAAAGGAAACTTCACAAGAGACCATCTGTGTTTTTGTGCAATGAATGTTCTGGTTTATATTTTGATACAAATATATTTGGGGTCAATTTACTATGGGAAAACTACACACTTTTAGTAGACACTATATACCATACCCGCATGCAAGTCTTTGCGAAAAATGTATTCGATAGCCCTTGTAATTGCTACCGGAGAAAATGGCTGCCCCTGAAGCCCGCTCCCCCCCTCCCCTCCCCGCCCCTCCCCTCAGCAAGATCCCTGTGTTTATATCATGCAGGCTATATGTCATTACGGAGAACGTTTTTTAAATTTGTTCAGCTTTTTGCGTACTCTAGACTATTCTTACTTCATCTGTAAATAGCCCAAGTACATGAGTCCATCTATTCTTGTGACGAGTTGTAATCGATCGGCTGGGCTATTTTAACCAAGTTACGACCGGAAATCGCTATTATGCAAATCTTACACATGACCTTTTCGTCTTCCTATTTGCTGTCAGAATAGGAATGAAGCTATTTTAATTATGTTCACACCCCACTTACGCTGATAGTGTAACGAACCAATTGGCTATCAAGGATAACCAGGGGACTCCCCCTGAAGTCTGCTAGTGACGTCATAGGTCAACGAAGTTGTAAGTAGATTGCTGGTGAATGGGCCAAGTACAAATATCATTCTCAATTAAATTCTCATTCAGACGGAGTTGTTCGTATTGAATCAAAGCAATTTAAGCAAGTTAGCAAGAAAACCGAGTCAAAGAAAGGTAAAACATTTTATAATTCCTTTCGTTACATTGCAATAGATGTTGAAGTTAGTGAATGTACAGACAGCTTCCATGTCCTAGACCAGTCACAAACTCCTACATCAGTACATCCGATTCATATTGTTTCTTTTCCTCCTACGTATATTTGGTTCCGTAAATTTAATTACAAAAATCATTAAATAGATTTCTTATGGTCGAATTAGAAGCCTTTAGTTGTTTGATAAAGAGCAACCGGGTTTTGTTTCGTAGTGGTAGAGTGCTGTGTGTTTAATTACATGTTGTACATCACGCTACTAGCACAAGCTAACTACTTCTTCAGTGGACAAACAGAATTTCTGCGATTTCCTTACTATTTTTCAACTTTTTTTCAAAAAATTAGCAAATAGATTGGTATCTTTACGACATTTCAACAAAAGTTCGACAATTTTGTCTCATTATTAATCGCTTAACTATATCTAATCGGGGAAATTCCGCCATCCCTTCGGGGTTTTCCCGAAGTAGTTTTTTTTATTGATCTTCATTCAAATTTTTCAGATACATTCTTATTTTGTTAATCTTATATAAATTATTTACAGATGAGACCACAAGGAACGCTTTGTCATATTCAGTCAGTCAACAAAGAACAATATGGAACCACGAGAGGAACCCTTTTGCGTGCTCTACCTCGAAGTAACGAACTCTGCTTTGATGGGGCGGATTCAAAAGACATTATAAGTGAGTATTATTTGAAACAGTCATTGCAAAACAAAAAAACAAAATGTTCTTTATCAGTGTAGCAATTACAAGGGATACGGCAGAAAATAAAATCCTGGCGGCTACGCCCCTGTTTAAATAACTAGATGACTCCTGTAACTTCTATATTTATTATCAACGCATTTACTAGATTCTTTTTTTACTTTCACTTTCCGAGTACGTGCTCGTGATCTGGGAGTAACGATCAGTGTAGTGTATACGAGGTCAGAGACCAATATCATTTCTTTGTTTGCATTTTTAGATTTCTTTAAAACCAACAATCGCAAGAAATGTACCTTTCACATGACAAAAGATGATACCTGTTACTATGTTTCAGAGCAGAACAACARSWMTGTTAGACCATTCAATAGGTTGCTATCAATAGACATCACTTCCGGTAATAGCTCTTTTTTGATGGCTTGTAGAATCCTGGAGGTTGTTTTGATCTCTAATTTTCTAGTTTGATGTCGTGAAAATAGTCAAATACAATAGTTTGAGGACTTATTTTGATATGTTTTGACTTAGCATCCGCTAGTTGCCCCCCAGTCAACCGCTTGTTTGCCCCCCAGTCAACTCCAAAAAGTCACGTGATTGATAGTAAGCAATATACCTGAAATGTCCTATAATTATATGCTTGGTGGTTGCTTAAAATAAATAAAAAATAAAAATAAATATGGCCTACATTACTATTTCGCACCAGGTGTAATTCTCTTGAAAATAAGAATTTCTTTTAGTAGCATCCATATTCATGTCTTCTCATGTGCAACTGTTAAACAAAGAAATGATACTCTAGGGAATGACAAATAGTTATATATATAGATAACATTACACCCATTTTACCATTTTACCATTTTACAGATCATTTTACCAAAGGTAGAGATCATTTTACCAAGCAATTAACTACCACAAATGGCTTTCTACTAAAATATGTTGCTAAATGCAATGACTTTGCTTCTTTTTTTTATGTTTACAGCAGGGAAAGGATAGCTCTTGTGACTTTGAAGTTTGTCATATAAAAGGCTATGGTCCTCGTACTTGGAGATTAATCAAAGCCAAGTCTGGAAAATATCTGACAAATGACGAAAGTGGGCAAATAATCACAGAAACTATCAATAAATCGTTTCCACCTATGAAAGCAATATACAAGATTATTCCTGCTCAGGATGTTAACTGTAATTATGTTTCAAGCAACAATATAAATTTGACATATTTTGAAACATCTGTTTAAGAGGAAAAAGATGAAAAAAACCCCAATAGGGATGGACATACCCCTTTAACAAGCTATTCAGGGGTTAACTAGTAAATATATTTTTAATTAATCCCATATACAAGTATGGGAGGTAGCAATTAGACTATTAAGAACATTGGTTTCTTAGTCAGTGTGCTTCAGTGCCTTGGATCTGTTGTCATAGTGATAACATGATTTAGGTATGGGAGCGTATAAAGTAAGTCACTGTGTGACAATACATGAAAAAACATATGTACTATCTATTCTATAGTAGCCCATAGTTTTTGAGGGCAAAAAAAGACATACTAGATTCATGCTGAATCATAATATAGATGTTGATATTGATACCTAGATTGATACTGTATAATCTGGTCAATAATTTGTTTTGTGTGAGATCATTAAATGATAGAGTATTTTAATATTAATGTTAGGCATTTTGATTCAAGCTGTTATCATAATGATAATGATAGTGTTATTAATGAATTTTCCATAGATTATTCATAAGTTTTAAGAATGTTTGGAAATGAAAATGATGATAAAAAATAAAAGTTATTTTATTTAGTTTTATTTTATTTTTTATTTTGAGTGCCCAGTTACATTTTCCCTAATTGCTGTATGTAATTCACTTGGGTACTGATATTTGAGTTAAGCATTTCTTGCAATAAAGATAATTTTCCAGTTGATTAGTATAAATCAATGGCATTCACACTCACGCACTGTATCTATCTATATATTTAATTATATAATTACAGAAACATTGTAGTAAACACTTATACATATACAGGAATAAGTGAATTAGTTTCGACAGAATTATACTTTAGAAAAATTTCATATTAGTCTCCTTTTAAAATATTACTCAAATTCATCCACAAATAAATTCTTTCTTTTAACTTTATATTCTCAAGGTTAAAAATAGTTCAATATAGAAGTCTGACACCCAGTGCGAAATTTTGATTGTCAAACCACATCCAATAATTCAAATCTTACTGCTAATCTTTATTTATCATGTGTGAATATCTTTGAGCAAAAGGATAGGAACCGTAAAGTTGGCTGTTGCCTGAATGTAAAGTTCAAAATTTATTGAAAGTATTCCTTAACATCAGATTTTAGAAGCTTTTGGGAAGAGAAATAGCTTCCAAATTTGACAATCTTATATTACAGTGCAACTACTGTAGCTGGGGCCACTTAAACCAGAAAAAAAGAGAACCAATTAAAATGTAGAATGAAAACAATGCATTTAAACTTTAGGTGGTGGTATCCCCGCCAATCAAAAACCTAGTCTGCACAAGAATGTTACATGTAAACAACCAGATAACCATCATCATTTTTAAAAAGATATGTTAGGCTATTGCTTTCTGCTGCTCTCTGATTCGCTCCACTACCCAAAGTTGGTTCTTGCTGTCTAAGTAACCCCAGTTATAGTAGTTGCACTGTAATAAATGATAGGTTGGTACTTCATGTACGACTACATGAAATGGTACTATAATAATTGGATTATTAATTATTTATTATTGATTATGACGTACCCCTGCAACCATAATCCAAACCTTAACTCTAACCTAAAGCCTAACCCTAACCCAAAAAAACTAACCTTAAACCTCTTTACGAATAGTGCCATTTCATGCAGTCTTCCATGAAGTAGTAAGGTAAGTATGAGTAATTTTATTCCCAATATAGGAACATATTTAGTTATTCTTAATGCACATATCATAAATTTGAATCTATTAAAATAGATTAGTTTATGTTGATATAATAATTGTCTAAAGTCCTGAGAAGGGCATCACTGTGAGTTAATGGAGTGAAAGTCACACAGTATATAGAAGTTAGGAATTTATATAACACATATATTAATAGACGTATTAAATACACAATAATAAATTGTAAACCTTCTTAGAACAGCATCTCTTCTAATATATACACATATGCAGTAATGCATTATACTTTTGTTTGGTCTCACATTACCTTAGTTACACTCTCTGAGTGTAAAGCAGAACAATTATTACAGTATTGTCCTAACCCTTAAAATGATTCCAGTTTGTTTGTAGATATCAATACGTTACAACCTTAGATAGTTTTAATTTGTTCAAATGTTTCAAAGCCTTGTAAAGTACTTCAGACATGGTCATCTGAAAAGAAAAATGAAAGAGAATATCAAGACAGGTTACTAGATGTCATGACAGCAAAATCAAATGAACTAGAAGATTGGGATAGATGACAAGCAAATGCTGCATTTTATTACTTATACATGTATGCAATGCACAGCCCACAAAACAATATTATGCACATAACTATACTCACCATGATACCACCATCTTGTCTTCTTGGGGTTTTTATGGCAAGTTGAGACATAGATGTTATTGTCTGGTGGTCGTTTCTAAAGGAAGTAGAAGAACATAATAAGCACAACAGAAGAACAACAACAGCTGCAAGTAATGTATACAATCCTTTAAAAATCAAAATCCTTTACTGTGGTTTTCTATAACCTGTGAACTCAGACATTCCAACAGCTTGTTGTGAAATTAGTTTTTCACTGCCGCCAGTCAACAACATAAGAGGTACCAACTGATTACTTTTGATTGACGGCAGCAAAAAAACAAATTTTCAGTTTGCAGCTTACATATACTACCGAGTTCGCAGAATATGAAACCTCAGTACTGTAAATGTCTTCAGAAAAACAAAAATCATTTTTGACATCATTTTCAAAAGCCAAAAACTGTTCTTTTTCAAATTTTGTTCATTTTTCCTTCATTTCAAAAAAGATTGTTCCAGTAGCTGTGGCAAAATACTGGGCTGCTTTCTATGTTTGATTTCTTCAGTTGTTATGTTAAAACTATAATTTGAATAACATGTCTGTTTTCATTATGATTCTTTCCCTTTGCGTAGACTTGTGAACACTTTTGCAATTTTACTTTGACATCTGTTTCTATTTTTGTTCCACCAACTGCACAACTTTTCTTTTCAGCTTTTACATTTGTTTTCATTTTTATTGTTATTATTTTCCTTCGTTTTCATTTCATTGTTCCTTCTGTTTATTTCTTTTATTATTTGCCTGTGAAGCTGTACTCTACATGTAGTCATAGACTGCATATTTTTTAGACAGGCAAGGGATATAACAAAACCTCTAATAAACTTTAGTTAAGACCCCAGTTTCGACTGCAACTCCAGGCTTGAATTACACAAGTCATAGCAGGTCAATTGCCATGCACCCATGCCAACTACTAACAACTGTTGTCTTAATATATATTCTCAACTTTCACATCCCCATAATGCCTTGCATTTTTGGGGGGTAACCAATCAAAAAACTATCCCAAAT